GTCCTTCAATACCTCTTCATTCAGCACATTCTTGCATCCAGCATGGCAGGGAGAAAAATAAGCCAAGTTATCTTCTCCACATACGGGGCTAATGCTGGCCAGCGAGCAGCTACAGTTCAGATTACATGGCACATTCACTTCAGTGTCTTGAAGAGAACTGAAAACGAAACACTTGAGTGGGTAAACTAATGTAATGATTTCCATACATGTTTTATCTTTGAGCGAGAAAAGGACCGGGGGTGGGGGGCGGCGGGACTTCCATAGGAAAAGGTCGGGGATGCTCGTCGGACAATTTGTATTAAACCCCTAAAGGAGACCAATCTGGGTGTGGCTCCAGCTTTATTTGACCCCTAAAAGATACCACTTAAAACGGAATAGGCTCGATTATCAGCCGCTGATTGGAAAAGGAGCCCTCGGGCTAGTAGACTGGGCTCGTGTGAGCGGCGGAAATCGAGCCTAACACGAAATGAGAGCGTTTTTTATATCTGTTATCTCTTCGAGTATACCCTAAAAGATACTTTGACAGCTAAAACAGTAGCGTTTCGTCCTGAACACCCCAAGCGAGACAAAAATCCTTGATTTACACCCCTAAGCGAGACAACGAGCATCCCTGATCTTTTCAAATGGGAGTCTTCCCCGGAAGAAAAGGACTCCACAAGCGAAGAATGCACAAGCGTAACCAAACGAGTCTCGATAAACATTGCAAACTGTGTCTGAAGCCTGAGCACAAGGTTTATTTTAATTAAGTGGGCGGACAGTAGTGGTCCTTTACGGCATCTTTCTCTCACCTGCCACTGTAAGGAGCTAATACTCCTGCTAGATCCGGGACACCACATCCGGGAATGAACCATGCACTAGATCCTGCAACGGTAAAAACTGAAGCGATGACGCAGAATCTGGCCGCCATTCTCAAAGATCTCTTCAAGTCAAATCGCCGCACAAGATATCCGCCCAGAACCACACCACCTGCAGGGACGAAAAGAGTGATTGTCACGGCGGTGACACAGTTTAAAGAATAGCTTCAATTCACCACTTTTTCACCTTCGTGATCAGCACAAGAAACCAATCGTAGAGGAGTTCGGTATACGTAGTCAATCTTTAGTGCATTGTACTTCAGTTTAAGAGGCTGGGCTCGAGCTCTGTCGGGGATCCTTGCCGTACTGTGTACATTGATAAGACACTAGCCCTAACTATTAACCCTAACATAGCGTGCACGCGTAGCAAGCGTTGCTGTACAAACGAAGAGCGAGCTTTTTCTGCATTCTGGCAAAATTGGTAGGTAAGTCTGCATACGAGCCAAGGGGCCCCATCAGGCCTGAGCTATTCCGGTTTCTGTAGCATGAATCGACTAACAGCATTCCTACTCCCCCTGGATGGGATGCTGGTCCATCGCAGAGTAACCCCACCATTAAGTTCGCCGGTACCCTGGATGTTCCTGGGTGGAGAGAGGCACTGTGAGAGTTTAAAAGTGTCTTGTCCAAGAACACAACGCAATGTCCCCGGACAGGGCTCGAACCTGGACAGCTTGATCCGGAGACGAGCGCATTAACAATGAGACCACCGTGCCTCCTACTGCGTAGCAAGCGTTGCTGTACAAACGAAGAGCTTTTTCTGCATTCTGGCCCCACTAAATTGGGGTAGGACAAACAATTAAACTTTGTTTGCTCTGTTATTTTCACGCAACCAGACTTTGCTTACTGACCCTCTCATACAGAACGCTTGTTACGCAGACTGACTCTCACAGCTGCAATTTGCCACCCACGAGTATAAGTAGCTATCACCGAATAGTGAGAATAACCTGACAAAATTCTGGGGGAAGGGGAGGTTGGGAGGGAGTAGCCCACATGGAATTAGTATCTTAACCTGGGGGAGTTTTATTCACCGTTTGATAAACTTTGTTCAAGTCGCTCACTTGAACGCTCATGAGAACACTCATTGAAGACGAACGCTCATGTAAGAATCTAATCTTGAACCCAGATCTCCCACGGCCAGCGTCAAACAGAGTGAGATCTGGGTACGAGATTAGTAAGTTTTTAGTAGTCTGTCCACTGACCCTCCATTTTGTCTTAAGTTCGTCGAGATCTCAAGAAAGTATGATCGCAGGGATTTGAAAAAGGCCGAACGGAAAAGACAAATATTTTTTTGAGGAAAGGCAAATCTTTTCTGCGTCCGCTACGCAGCCGCTCTCCCTACTCGCGTTCCCACTCGCTCTCAGTCTCACGCCCTCGTATCGCGCGCGCGCTCGAAAAAATACTCGTAGCAAAAAATAAACGTCCGTGGACAGACTACTTTTTTGGTGGTATACATTCACGGCATGAACCGTGAAAAAGGCAAAGACCTTGTACTAGTCTGAGTGTACTGCTTTAGTGCTGGTCTGCCTGTATGGGAGATGCTCACGACGGACGAAGTTATCGCCCGTCTTCACTATCAAGGTGGCAACAAAAACACCCAAAAGTGAACTCTCCATATAATTTTGAATGTCAAGTAGAACCTTAGTGCGCCATCTCTAATTAATCTTGACGAACTTAATTTAGAATTATTTTATGCCTCAGAGACCTCAGTAAAACATAGTCTATAGAAGATGATAACCTTACCTACAGTTCCTGGAACAAGCACCACTCCAATGACAACTCCTGCAAGGAAAGAGCTTAGTCCATACTTGAGCTGAAGAATTTTTGCAATGAAGGCTGCTATACCGGCTCCAAACAATGATCCGGATGTGACTGCCAAGGTGTTGAAAATGAAGACAGGCGTTTTTATCAACTGGAGTGTCGCTGGCAAAATATCCTTCAGCTTTCCTTGAATCCTTTCGTCCTTCTGTGGAATGTGTCCTTCTTTGAGAGCTTGTTCGCGGATGCTTTTGGCCCCTGGCAACTCTCTGGGAAATCCAAGAATAAGGCCTGAGATGATGAGAAGAATAGAGCCCCCAGCCAGGTACCCCAGCCACCACGCTCCTATCCATCGAGGATCCTCGGGACTAAGATTAACTCCTTCGGGCTGAAAGGTGACACATGCGACTACAACATCAAATGGGGCTGGGTAAAGGAGGGTGCGAGGTTGTGGGTCTTAGCTAGGCTCGAGTCCGGTCAACGTTTCTCCCCTGGGTGGGGGTACTCCCTTGTATGGGGTACATAGGTATATGCGGCCCTAAAGGGTATGGTTTTTAAGCCGTTTTGGTCATAAGTAGGGTATCGAGTTTGGCCATTTTCGTCTCAAATAGGGTGTGGGTTTTGCACTTTAGTTTTGAACTGAGTATGCTTTATAGCAAAAGCTGCTTTTTCATCATTATCGATAAGGCCATCAACAAAAGCCCTCCATAAACTATTTTAGGGTAACTGTGCCAACCGTAACGGTCGTAAATAGGGAATTCAATTTTATTTTTTGTCAGGTCATAAGTAGGGTGGAAAAAAATCGCAGATTTTGGTCATAAATAGGGTAAGGGTTTTGGGAAGCGGGCCGCACACCACCACCCAATTTTTCTTGGAGTACCCCCTGGCGTTTCTCTTCGTGGGAGGAGCGCGGGCTCCTTTCCCTAACAGTAGCTGGTAATCGAGCCTTGGTCTTAGCAGATGAAAATAATTGGCGGTGTAAAATCACAACGGATTCTCGTTTTGGAAACAGATCCTATTAGGAGGATCTCAATGGGGAGGTAGCTTTTACGGCTAACGGTTAATGTATTTCCCTTGTGGTTAACAGCAGTCTTAGAAATCAATTACATTAATTGTTCAAAAAAGTTACAAATTAACTTTAACTGTTTAAAAATGTTTAAAAAATACTGTAGAACATATTTAAGGCCTTAGGACCCTTTCCGGGTGGAAAAAAATGTTGTTTTAAGAATTGTAGACTAATACAGCTTACATGCCACAAGACAAGACACAAAAAAGTCTTGACAAGAGATCTGGAGACTTTCACTTTCTTAGCTAAAAGTCTTTTACGGTTCATTTTATTTTACGGCTAACGTTAAGCTTTACAGAGTTAAGTAAGCATATTTACCTGTGTGACGTCAATGTAAATATTCAACAGCGAACCGCCAGATATAAACCCCAGCCCAGGCCCCAGCAAAGTCAGGGAGAAAAATACAGCAAGATATACTGGTGACGACTTTGGGTGCACATTTTCATCGATGTACGCGGGCCCAAGGGTGTACAGCGGTGTTGTCCCGGCACCCATGAGTAACTGGGCCATGAAGAAAATGAGGATATAATACCATTGGCCGCCATAGTCAGCAAAGCAGAACTCCGAGGTGCCATTGACGCCAAGCCGACAAACTTGGCCATCGGTTAAACCGTTTGAGGCCAAAAGAGGCTGGTATCGCCCAACCAGTCCTTGAGGGAGGACGAATAATAAACATCCTAGACCTATGATAAAAATAACACATGTAGTGGTAGCACACCCCGGTAGTTTGGTTTTGATATCAATCGCTTGCTTAAACCATTAAGCACAGCTAAGCAACGACAGTCGCGCGACTCTCAGGAACTTTCTCCGATCGCTTACTGCCAATATGAAGACCTCTCTCTCTCTCTCGAGTAGGCAGGAAGAGGAGGATAATTTAAGGCCATTATATAACAGTAACCACTAAAAACCACTAACCACTGCAAAAAGGTATCAATACAATGACAGAAAAGCGCATGGCATAAACGTTTTGGAAAGAAGAATCAATCTGGGTTAAATTTGACCCTAGCTTGAAAACAACGACATTGTCTCTTTCCCAACAAAATCGTTTGTATCTAAACTGAAACTTAGGTACTGCGCGCTCTAGGTTGACAAGATTTGTTTGGCAAATTTTGTCTCCACCAAATTTTGAATTTGGTAATCGCAAAGCGAGATCAAATTTACTTGATTGACGTTTTCAGTCAGATTAACGCCTGCAAATTGAAAAATCTGACAGTTTTGACGTTTGACAAAAATTTGTCGTGCTTCAAGGCGGGACGACGGCGCCTTTGAAGTTTGGTACGGCTTGACAAAATTTTGGTAGGAAGAAAAACACCGTGAGCACTTGTAGAGCGGAACTAATGACAAATATTTTTGCAAAATAAACAAAAATTCGCCAAGTGCGTCCGGGCCATTATATCGGCTACTTCTAATCTTTTAGCCCAAGGAAAAAGACGGCCTTTTTTTCGAGACCTCAATTACTTCCCCAAGACGTTTGAGCCGGATTCGACTGGGAAAATTTGCATATTGATGACGTAACGATACAGAGGTCCGTTCCGAGAAACAGCCAATCAGAGCACGACGTAGATCTCGGTAGAGTTACTTTATTAGATTGAAAATTTCTGGTCAAATGGTAAGACTTCTCTCACGAAAGGATAGAATTGCGCTTGCATTTGATAGTACGTTTCTACCTTTCCATTTGAACTCGAAACTTTTCTATCTCGCCTCTACAAAGCCTGTTATCTAATCTGCACATACGCAACATGACGTTGGAACAAGACCCGTAGCGTATTTTAATATTTGGCGCGGAATTCATTTATGTAATCAATTTCCACTTTCCGTATCCGCTATGTAAACGAAAGCTACGGATAACATTTTGTTGCTAAACTGAAGTAGCTTTTTTCCTTTACCTGTTATAACCGAACCGTAACCAAGCCATTTTATTTTGTTTCCGTATGTTCCATAAAAGCTTACAAGCGCAGTCAACAGTATTCCTGCTACGTCATTGGACGCTGCAACGAATCCTACGTCAGTACTTGTGAGCTGAAATCTCTTCTCTAATGTTAAGAGGTAGAGATTGGTGAATCCATTCACAGTCATACCTATAAAGAGAATGCAGGAGCAAAGATGTAACGAAGGAATGCAGAACTGTCACGCTACACCGTCTGTAAACCTGCCTCACATGAAGCGTGACAGGCTAGGATGTTCTCGTCACGACAAAAAATAATACCCAGCTCTGTTCGTTAGGTTCAGCGGAGCGGGTTGGAAAGGAGATTGGGTCCTAAGCCCCCCTCTATTAGCCCTCTCTCTCTCTCTCTAAGCTCGATTTGATCATTACAAATTTTACTGTTAGTTGGAGAGAGGCATTGTGAGAGTATAGGGGGTTGTCCAAGAATGGACCAAACAAAACATCAGCCTCACCGCTCGAGCCGAATTGAGTAAATATGCGAAGTTTCAAAAGAATCCGTCGCAAACTCATGGAAGTATGAGAGACCAAGCTTGTTGATTTTTACAAAAAATGCATGCTAGGGGCAGTGCTATGGAGGTGGTGTTCTGTTTACATATGAAAAATACGAAAAATTGTTATTTTGCGTGACATCAAAATGGTCCGCCACGTACGCAACGACTGGGCCCTAAAGCAAACGATCCGTTGTCTAGCGGATGAACCGTTGCCGTATTAGCCAACTTAACGTTCTACTCAATGACTCATTGGTCGAGGGCCTGACAGCTGACAGCTGTATGAGTACAGCCGAACCTCTAATAACGGTCACCTAACCACAACCACTATTCAGCTGGCCACTTCTCTACTGAGAGAATTACTCTTATTTTAACCTCCCATCAATGGCCGCTCTATCTCCAAGGTGGCCTGTAGTGAGGTTCGATTGTGGTAATAAACTGCACTAGTGATAAGCTATGTCAGTGCTGCTGGTTACCTTGAATAAAAGAGAAAAACGCCAATGCAGTCACAAAACACTTGGGGCTGTTAAGAAATTGTAAACACTTTGGCCTGATGTTTCCCCAGCCATACCGAAGGTCTTCTTCTCCAGCGTCCACCATGTCAGTATCGACGTGTAATGGGGTTTCTTCCGGTTTCTCACTCTTCAGTTCACCATTCTGGTCACTACTCATCTGCAAGAAATCAATTATGTAAAAGGTTAACATAAATTGAACAATCTAAACGATACACTCTTATGTTTTTCTATAAGAATATATTTAATCATAATATCAAGGCTCAAATTTGCGAAATTTTAAGAATATTTTAAGAATAAACCCGAGGCTGAGATTTTGAAAAGAATTGATCTTTTTTGTTGTCGAAAATTTGCAAATGTAAAACGATTATATGTTTTTAACTAAACCGTGCAAAATTGATCCTTTCTCTAAACGGTCCTGAACAGCAAAACTAACCAAGAAATTACAAAAACGGCACTAGCCGTATCAGTGTTCGATGCTAATGGCATTTTCTGGAAGAAATTCTTTGTGTCATGTCAGGCTTTGTTGCCTGCACAACGCCATCAAAGGCAATGAAACAGATCACATATGTCCTATGCTATAATCTAAGAATATTCACAAGAATATTCTCAGCCTAATATCGGCAGAAAAATAAGAATATTCAGCCTGGGCCGCAAAAACATTATTCTTATAAAAAACACAGTGTATTTCAGAATTTGACTGTATGCTCACCATTTTCTCTTTTGTATATTAAACGTGCTTGCCTTCTACTACCGACGGGCAGCAAGCTTGCATATTCTGCTCAATTATTTTGACGGCCTATTCGATCCTACAGTGCTCGGCTTTGAAATTCTTATTCTTACTCCTCGATCACCCTTATAAGCCAAAGGTTCATTTTCATGTGTGTTTATTTTGTGTGCAATGCCGCTGATTAATTCTATTTGTAACCTCGATATCGGGTCGTAGGTAATCGGTTGTGGGTCGTTTCGTTACAACACGATTCGCTTCATTCTTGGGTATAATAATCATAACAGCGAACGCAATTACCTGGTTGTAATTAATTTATATACCGTTTTGCTTAATTTGCTCGAATTCTACTCAGAGATTATTCGCTACCGTACCGCCAACGGCCAAAAACAGCCTGCCAAAGCGGCAAAACAGGCCATGCAAAACATGTGGCCACTGGTGATAGCGGGCGACTTCTGACAGCCATAGTCGCTCCGTGTGCGCGAAATTGTTACATTGCAGCGCTGTTGATATACACTGTGAAAATCATTTAACAGGCCAATGATATAAACCTACCTTCGTTACATTCTGAGCCTTTTGTGTTTCACATTGTATTCAAAGTTTTCAAACAGGAAAGAGAAGGCTAGGGCTGCATGCGCAGGGCTAAACCACGCTGAATAAACGCGCCGGTTTGAAGACGATCATGACCAAGGAAGGTTTGAAGAAGACGAAGACGAAGACGAAGAAGACAAACAAGGTTATATTACATGCCGATGGTACCCTGGGTATTGGTAGATATATCTGACTGATTGTATTCGCTCAATAACTACGCCTGCGTTTTGCGTTCGAAAGTTTGAAATATTGCGTGACTCAAAACAGCGAGTCAGCGTGACATTTTTTTACCTTGCCGATGCCAAAAACAAACAAATCGCGCATAATAGCAAATGTTGTTTGTAATGGTGTTGCCCCGAAATTTAGCGTAATACTTGTCATGGGGTACAAATTTGCAGAATGTTTCCTGTGATCAGGCTTTATGGTGCTATAAATAATGTACTTATTGCCCTTTCGATTTATACGAAGAGATGATTTCAACCGAAGAGTCGTTCAGACGTGCATTATAATCTATGCTTTGTTTCCTGTCCATTTGTTTAAGAGCCAGGCATCGCTGATTCTATCAGCATGCTTAACAAGACAGATCACTGAGGGACAAATTTCATTGCGACCGATTTGCCATCATTTATGAGCACACTTTCATGCAGTGTCTCCGAGATCTTGGAACTAATGTACATGTAATAGCGATGTATTAACGTACGTGCTAGCCATCGTCGAGGCTCGTTGATTACGCAATGGCTGCACGTAGATCCACGCAACTGATTCGCAGAAGTGCATAGGAATGCAGGAAACATGTTACCTACCTTTGAACTTCTTCGCTCCCGAAGACAGGTTAAGATCGCAACGAATTTTTAAATACCCAAGAGGAATGACAAAGATCATGCGAGTCGACGGCACTCAATTAACGCTCTTAATGAGCTGTGACGTAATTTAAACCGCAACCTTCACTACTCCCC